TGTCAGGAAACACTTGTCCTGTCTCCTGACGAACCTTATCTATACTCCTGTCAGGAAACACTTGTCCTGTCTCCTGACGAACCTTATCTATACTCCTGTCAGGAAACACTTGTCCTGTCTCCTGACGAACCTTATCTATACTCCTGTCAGGAAACACTTGTCCTGTCTCCTGACGAACCTTATCTATACTCCTGTCAGGAAACACTTGTCCTGTCTCCTGACGAACCTTATCTATACTCCTGTCAGGAAACACTTGTCCTGTCTCCTGACGAACCTTATCTATACTCCTGTCAGGAAACACTTGTCCTGTCTCCTGACGAACCTTATCTATACTCCTGTCAGGAAACACTTGTCCTGTCTCCTGACGAACCTTATCTATACTCCTGTCAGGAAACACTTGTCCTGTCTCCTGACGAACCTTATCTATACTCCTGTCAGGAAACACTTGTCCTGTCTCCTGACGAACCTTATCTATACTCCTGTCAGGAAACACTTGTCCTGTCTCCTGACGAACCTTATCTATACTCCTGTCAGATGACACTTGTCCTGTCTCCTGACGAATATTATAACTACATAAAGCGGTCAGTAGGTTAGGTTAGGTTAGGTAAGGTTTGTCAGGAAAGAGGACAAGTGTTTCCTGAGGCGGGTCTCAGTCATATAATGACCTGCCACTGGACCAAAAGCTCCAGCTGTGGGTCATCATATGACTTGAGACCTGCGTCGGGAAACAATTCTCCTGTTTCCTGACGTATCCTACCTAACCTAACCTATCTAGCAGCTTATGTACAGGTTTCAAGCCGAACCTACGGAATGGGCTTGAAACATAATTTACATCTTACGTTGATGTTATTTCTGACAGCATATATGCTGGCTGACGCTGGTTATGACGTATGGCTTGCCAATGCTCGTGGAAATACATACTCCAGAAATCATCTGACTCTCTCTCCAGACTCCAAGGCATTCTGGCAGTTTAGGTAAGATGTGTGTATATTGTTACTGTAGGATACTCACCATTAGCCTGATGAACCAGCAACTGGGAGTTCTGGTCTTGGACCAGAAGTCGAGGGAACTGATCGAAACCTAAAGGTCGCTAAGAAAGTGCATTGAATTCGCTAGGCAGTTTCCGTATTATAATGTTACTGACCACGAAATGGGTACGAAGTACCTACTGCCCACTGGATAAGTATATTACCGCCTACGGGATGAGTATAAGGTACCCACTGCATAGCTATACTACTACCTACAAGATGGGTATGAGGTACTACTGTCCACTGGATAAGTGTTCTACCTCCTACAAGATGGATATGAGGTATCTACTGCCCACTGGATGAGTATATTACCGCCTACAAGATTATTATTATTATTATTATTATTATTATTAAAGATTAGCCGGTATTCTCCCGGCCCGGGCCTTTTCCAAGTGGTGGCCCGGCCTTGGCTCCCTCTTTAGGGACTGTCTGAGACCTAAGTCTCCCATGGGAGGAGGCACAAGTACCTCCTCATCTTTGGGACCAACTGTCCCCAGACCTAGCCACAAGCTAGGCCTCTCTGGTCTGCCATCCCCGCCCCAAGGGGGCTAATGGGAATGACAGTCTTGTGAGCTGTAAGCTCGGGCTCAGGCACCTACCCTGCCCTAGAAGGGTTAGGCATGGTATCGATGCCTACAAGATAGGTATGAGGTACCTAATACCCACCGGATGAGTATACTACCGCATACGGAGTATGAGAATGCTATTAAATCCATAAGCTAACCTCTACCTCTCCGTGTTTGGGAAGTATTGTCCGGTTTTTGAGAAGTCTTTTAAGTAAATATCCCCTAAAATCTGGGATGATAAAGGTGAATTTTTATCCTAACTATTTAATTATTTCTTAGTATGTGAAAAAATAAGATTTTGTTCGGATTTTTAACCCCGGAGGGTTAGCCACTCAGGATAACCCAAGAAAGTCAGTGCGTCATCGAGGACTGTCTGTCTTATTTCCATTGTGGTCCATCAGTCTTGTCCCCCAGGATGCCACCTACACCAATCCACTGTCACCCAGATACCTACTTGCTTGCTTAGTGACCGGGCACAGCAGGTGTAAGGAAACACACCTAGTGTTTTCACCCGGCCGTAGATCGAACCACAGACACTATGTGAGGCGAGTGTTGCCTACCAGGCCACGGGACTTATCTCTTCCAGTATACCCATAATCCTTTTCGAAGCTCATCCTAACCCCAGTCCATCATCCAATACAAAAAAAAAAAAAACATTAAGCCCAGAGTTAGACAGCTATAATTTATGGGAGTCGATGACCAGCTTTCTCCTCAGCCTAGAAAAAAACAGCATTTGTATGGTGGCATAATCAATAGCTCAATGAAAATTAAAAATGGGAAATTTTGCTACAGTTACCCCCTCGATACGCCGAAATATTGATAAGCTGGGTAAACTATTATATTATGAATGTACTACCACAGAGGGGCTTTGTTGAGGTACTTATGCAATCGAAACATATCAAATAAAGTGTGTGTGAGTTACTTCTTGCTGGATTAAGCCATCATGTACCATAACATCAAGGTTGCCTCGGGTATGAAACTTTAAAATTTGCATAGATCCTGTCTTTAAAATGAGTTTGGAGAAGACAGCGTATCTTACATTCTAAAAAAAACATGTTTAACCTCTTAAATATTATTTTTTTAAAGCATTTGAGATCCCTTTGTGTCTGTGTGTTCAGTATCTTATAGATAAGCGCAAGAATTTTGCGTATCTTTGCATTCTATACTGACAGCTGATATGTATCGATGTATTAAGCAAATTTGAATACAGGTACACATAAATACACTTATCATATTCACGGATCGACACCATGCCCAGCCCTTCTAGGGCAGGGTAGGTGCCTGAGCCGGAGCTTGCAGCTCACAAGACTGTCATTCCCATTAGCCTCCTTGGGGCGGGGATGGCAGACCAGAGAGGCCTAGCTTGTGGCTAGGCCTGGGGACAGTTGGTCCCAAAGATGAGGAGGTACTTGTGCCTCCTCCCATGGGAGACTTAGGTCTCAGACACTCCCTAAAGAGGGAGCCAAGGCCGGGCCACCGCTTGGACAAGGCCCGGGCCGGGAGAATACCGGCTAATCTTTAACTAACTAACTAACACTTATCATATATAGTGGAATATGTTTAAGTTATCTAGGATAACCCCCTAAAAAGCTAAAGTGACTTATTTCCATATATGAGTCTGTGGTATCAATATACTCTGTACCTTATAGCTGGAACGAGATGGCTATATATGACGTCCCAGCAGCAATAGACTACATACTGAATACCACAAATCAGAAGGATCTATATTACGTGGGTTTCAGCATGGGCACCAGCGTCTTCTGGGCAATGCTGAGTGAACGTCCACACTATGCTGCCAAGGTCAGTCTCATACTGTAACTCTCAACATACCCCCACTAAGGGGCGCTAATAATAATAATAATAATAACAATAGTGCTTCCACTGGCTGCACAAAACCATTATTCCCATTATTCTAAAATTACCATTATTGCTGCCACTGACGTCCTCAGATACGGTTCATGGTGGCTATGGGACCGGTGGCTTACGTTCGAAACATCAAGGGACCTCTTGGGTATGCTGCACCTTTCGTCAATCAGATAGAAGTAAGTGGGTCGATTCAATAGTATCATATATGCTATGTTTTTCTTGATTGAGTTTCAAGCCTCTCGACTATACGAGGGTGTGTTAAAAGTGCATGTCAAGTGTACACTACCAGTGAAGTATATTTTAAACTCCTTCTAAGAGGAATAAAAACTGATAATATACATCTCTTAGTGTATATAGCCTCTTGCTATACTTAGTGTATATAGCCTCTGTTGCTATACTTAGTGTATATAGCCTCTGTTGCTATACTTAGTGTATATAGCCTCTGTTGCTATACTTAGTGTATATAGCCTCTGTTGCTATACTTAGTGTATATAGCCTCTGTTGCTATACTTAGTGTATATAGCCTCTGTTGCTATACTTAGTATATATAGCCTCTGTTGCTATACTTAGTGTATATAGCCTCTGTGTGTTCCTATTCTTAGTGTATATAGCCTCTGTTGCTATACTTAGTGTATATAGCCTCTGTGTGTTCCTATACTTAGTGTATATAGCCTCTGTTGCTATACTTAGTGTATATAGCCTCTGTTGCTATACTTAGTGTATATAGCCTCTGTGTGTTCCTATTCTTAGTGTATATAGCCTCTGTTGCTATACTTAGTGTATATAGCATCTGTGTGTTCCTATTCTTAGTGTATATAGTCTCTGTTGCTATTCTTAGTATATATAGTCTCTGTTGCTATTCTTAGTATATATAGTCTCTGTTGCTATTCTTAGTATATATAGTCTCTGTTGCTATTCTTAGTATATATAGTCTCTGTTGCTATTCTTAGTATATATAGTCTCTGTTGCTATTCTTAGTGTATATAGTCTCTGTTGCTATTCTTAGTATATATAGTCTCTGTTGCTATTCTTAGTGTATATAGTCTCTGTTGCTATTCTTAGTATATATAGTCTCTGTTGCTATTCTTAGTGTATATAGTCTCTGTTGCTATTCTTAGTATATATAGTCTCTGTTGCTATTCTTAGTGTATATAGTCCCTGTTGCTATTCTTAGTATATATAGTCTCTGTTGCTATTCTTAGTATATATAGTCTCTGTTGCTATTCTTAGTATATATAGTCTCTGTTGCTATTCTTAGTGTATATAGCCTCTGTTTGTTGCTATTCTTAGTGTATATAGTCTCTGTTGCTATTCTTAGTATATATAGTCTCTGTTGCTATTCTTAGTGTATAGAGTCTCTGTTGCTATTCTTAGTATATATAGTCTCTGTTGCTATTCTTAGTGTATATAGTCTCTGTTGCTATTCTTAGTATATATAGTCTCTGTTGCTATTCTTAGTGTATATAGTCTCTGTTGCTATTCTTAGTATATATAGTCTCTGTTGCTATTCTTAGTATATATAGTCTCTGTTGCTATTCTTAGTATATATAGTCTCTGTTGCTATTCTTAGTATATATAGTCTCTGTTGCTATTCTTAGTGTATATAGTCTCTGTTGCTATTCTTAGTATATATAGTCTCTGTTGCTATTCTTAGTGTATATAGTCTCTGTTGCTATTCTTAGTATATATAGTCTCTGTTGCTATTCTTAGTGTATATAGTCTCTGTTGCTATTCTTAGTATATATAGTCTCTGTTGCTATTCTTAGTGTATATAGTCTCTGTTGCTATTCTTAGTATATATAGTCTCTGTTGCTATTCTTAGTATATATAGTCTCTGTTGCTATTCTTAGTATATATAGTCTCTGTTGCTATTCTTAGTGTATATAGTCTCTGTTGCTATTCTTAGTATATATAGTCTCTGTTGCTATTCTTAGTATATATAGTCTCTGTTGCTATTCTTAGTATATATAGTCTCTGTTGCTATTCTTAGTGTATATAGTCTCTGTTGCTATTCTTAGTATATATAGTCTCTGTTGCTATTCTTAGTGTATATAGTCTCTGTTGCTATTCTTAGTATATATAGTCTCTGTTGCTATTCTTAGTGTATATAGTCTCTGTTGCTATTCTTAGTATATATAGTCTCTGTTGCTATTCTTAGTATATATAGTCTCTGTTGCTATTCTTAGTGTATATAGTCTCTTTTGCTATTCTTAGTATATATAGTCTCTGTTGCTATTCTTAGTGTATATAGTCTCTGTTGCTATTCTTAGTGTATATAGTCTCTGTTGCTATTCTTAGTATATATAGTCTCTGTTGCTATTCTTAGTGTATATAGTCTCTGTTGCTATTCTTAGTATATATAGTCTCTGTTGCTATTCTTAGTGTATATAGTCTCTGTTGCTATTCTTAGTATATATAGTCTCTGTTGCTATTCTTAGTATATATAGTCTCTGTTGCTATTCTTAGTGTATATAGTCTCTGTTGCTATTCTTAGTATATATAGTCTCTGTTGCTATTCTTAGTATATATAGTCTCTGTTGCTATTCTTAGTGTATATAGCCTCTGTTTGTTGCTATTCTTAGTATATATAGTCTCTGTTGTTATTCTTAGTGTATATAGCCTCTGTTTGTTGATATTCTTAGTGTATATAGCCTCTGTTTGTTGCTATTCTTAGTATATATAGTCTCTGTTGCTATTCTTAGTATATATAGTCTCTGTTGCTATTCTTAGTGTATATAGCTTCTGTTTGTAACAATATAGTTCTATGTACTTTGCCTATGTATATCTTTTTCCTCAACATGTACTCATCTAATGTATTGTTAAAAATGTACTCTGGATATCCCGAGTACAGCATATCTTTATTTCTAAACATTTATTATGCATCTCTTGAGTACAGTATATCTTAATATGTACTCTAGTACCTTAGATATCTATCCTTCTTATTGGGCTAAAAATATATACTCTGGATATTCTGAGTACAGAATATCTATTTCTAAATCTGCTAACTCAAGTACAGCATATCTTATTTCATAATCTTATTTTCATAATCTTAGACATCTATCCTTTCCAAACGCGTATTTTAGCTATCCTGAGTACAGTATATCTTATTTCTTAACATGTACTCTAGTATCTTAGATATCCATTCTTTCTAAACGTATTGTAGCTATCGTGGATACAGAATATCTTATTAACACGTACTCTAGTATCTTAGATATCCGTTCTTTCTAAACGTATTGTAGCTATCGTGGATACAGAATATCTTATTAACACGTACTCTAGTATCTTAGATGTCCATTCTTTCTAAACGTATTGTAGCTATCGTGGATACAGAATATCTTATTAACACGTACTCTAGTACCTTAGATATCCATTCTTTCTGAACGTATTGTAGCTATCGTGAATACAGAATATCTTATTAACACGTACTCTAGTACCTTAGATATCCATTCTTTCTGAACGTATTGTAGCTATCGTGAATACAGAATATCTTATTAACACGTACTCTAGTACCTTAGATATCCATTCTTTCTGAACGTATTGTAGCTATCGTGGATACAGAATATCTTATTAACACGTACTCTAGTATCTTAGATATCCATTCTATCTAAACGTATTGTAGCTATCGTGAATACAGAATATCTTATTAACACGTACTCTAGTACCTTAGATATCCATTCTTTCTGAACGTATTGTAGCTATCGTGGATACAGAATATCTTATTAACACGTACTCTAGTATCTTAGATGTCCATTCTTTCTAAACGTATTGTAGCTATCGTGGATACAGAATATCTTATTTACACGTACTCTAGTATCTTAGATATCCATCATCTCTTTTCCAGTTGACGTTAAATCTACTGGGCCAGTACGAGTTGCTATCGTTTGGACCATTCATGGACCGGTTACTGAGTACTTTCTGTGATGAGAAACGCCTGTCATCTTATATATGTAGCAACATACTCTTCCTCCTGTGTGGGCCAAACCCTCAGGAGCTCAACAAGGTAAACCCTTATGGGCATGTTCGTCGCCAATGTTTTTCAC